CTCATACACCAGTTAAGCCCTAATACTCTTAAGAAGCTATTTAGTTCCTTTTCTGATTTAATTATTCCACAATCATCCCAAAGTTTTTTGAGTTTCTCTGAATTTGTATTAAACTGACGCAAATTCATTCCGGCATCTTTAAGCACGCAATAGGCTCCAGCACTTAACTTAAAAAAAGCCTGTTCCACAGAATCTGCAGCATAGAAAACATCATCTACGTAGATCGAACAGTTCAACATCTGAAAAATATCTGGATTTTCTAACTTTATTTTCTTTATATGCTTTTTTAGAGTGCACGCCAGAACGAAAGGGCTACATGACACACCGAAAGGAACGCGAGTCATTCGATAATGTTTCAAATCGTAATTATTATCAAAGTATAAAAACCGTAATACATCTCTATCAATTTCAGAGATTCCAATCTGGAGGAGGCCTTTTCACTGTCTGCTGAGAACGCATGTATGTATTGTCTGAACCGCAATATCAAGTCCAAAACAAAAGGATTCAAATTTGGGCCAGGCATCAAACAATTGTTCAGAGATACCCCATTACACTTCGAAGATGCGTCAAACACGATACGGACTTTAGTTTTTTATACATGTTTTCTTACCACTGAAGAATGTGGCATGTAATACATTTTATTACTGTCACGACTTTCAATTTCGCACTATACAATTATTTCATTTTTTAACTGTTCGTTTATTATGCTATCATAATTTGCTCTAAGCTATTCATCATTTTTTAGTTTATTAACCAAAGATACTAGACGTCGCTTGGCATTTTCTAAATTATTACCCAAGTTTTCATGATGTTATTTCCATAATAAACGAGCTACATATCTACCATTAGTAAAATGAAATTCTTTTTCAAATTTCTCAATGACTGATTTATCATCAGGATTCTTGTTTTCCTCTAAACCCAAGTGGTCCAAAGTCCAAAACCTTCGCGAACAGTCATTAACTGAATTATTATCTTCCTTCAAGTAGTGAGAAGCACCAATTGTAAAAATACAGGCATTAGACTGATCACCTTCCAAAGATCCAACCAAGGACCAACCAAATATACTTGTAGAAGATACCTCAAATAATTAATTACTTACTCTTTTCTTTTCTCCTGTTTGCACTTCCCAACATGAATCAGATCCTAATAATATTTTTATTTCAGCTGCCATTATTGGCTAATTTAAAATTTCCTGATTTTTAATATTTCCTAAAATGTTTTTGGAGGGAAATTTTTATTGATCGCTTCCAGAAATAGTGATCTGTAACAAGAGCTTCAACTGTGATTGAGTCATTAGGGCAAGTGCATACTTTTCAGGGTACTTTGAACACATTATATTCCATTAGTTTACCCTATATACCCAAAAGAATAAATATATAACCTTTCTTTCCTTAAAGTTCTTTAATTTTAAATTTTCTTAGCTAAATCAGATCTAATAAATGACCTCTGTGACCCGTCAATCAATTAAGATTTTTACTATTTGGCTTCTAGTATTATCTGTATCTGAAGCGTAAACAGTGCAAGTTTGTAAGTATACACCTTTATCAGCAGTTTCAGAAACAGTCTTAGAGTTAAACGATAGGGATGCAACTACATTCTGCTTAGAAACTGATACTGGAACTACTTTCTGTTTAACATCTGAAACTGCTTCCGCTTCAGGAACAATATTTTTAGAAAATAACTTATTATGATTTGAACCATTACACAACTCACAAGGCTGAAGTTTCATTTTACATCTGGACGATACACGGCCTCTCTTAAAACATCTGTAACAACGTCCATGGTTTCTTAATATCGCTCCTTTTTTTTTTTTTTTTTTTTTTTTTTTTTTTTTTTTGCTCATTTGTTTTCTCACATTTTCCTACATCATGTGTATTTTGATTAGAATAGAAACAATATGGCTTAGTCACTGTGGCTAACGCCGAAGCAGTAGGAACGCTTGCCCCTTTTAAGTAATTATTTTTATTCTGCTTAACTCCGTAATTTGCGTCCCTTTTCTTTGAGCTTATTATCAAATTAGAAGCTTCCCGTCTCTCAACTTCCAATCTAATGAATTCAAGAAGTTCTGTTAGGCTATATTGCTGTTTAGAGTTTCTTTTTCTATTAAACTCCAGATTCATATCATCTGTTAAAAGCTTTAAAATAACAGGTCTTAAAGGGTCTCAAAAGCTTCCGACACAATACCTAATGAATTTAAACTTCTTATATTGATTTCACAAGAATCGTAAAGTGTTCTTAGTGTTTTCACATTCGACGAACTTCTAACCAGTTCAAGATTCAAGAGTTTATTCATGTGCGAAGATGTAACCAAATCTGTTCGTCCAAATCTTTCTTTAATTAAACTTATAGAAGCGTCATAATTTTCATTAGATAGTGCAAACCAGATACTGCACTTAAAGCAGGTCCTGCGAGTAAGGATTTAAGATAGGTAAACTTCTCGACCTTTGTTAACTCATTATTATTACCAATAGCATTTTCTAAAGCATTATAAAATTCCAAAAATAAACTAGGATCACCATAATATTTAGGAATAGAAATTTTAGGTAACCGAATGTTAGTTTTGTTTTCGACCTTTACGGCAGCAGTATGGTTACTATGCGATTCATTTTCAATGTTCACTATCTGAGAATTTAAATTAAGTTTATTTTTAACCCTAAAAATACATAACCACATGTTTTCATAATACTCTAACACAGTACTACATTCTTTCTCAATTTCAAACTCATCCCCTTTAAAACAATCCAGTATTTTTTCATTAATTTCTTTCAACGCAGACTGTTTAGAAGTAAGTAAAAACACATTTTCTTCTACCATATTCTTGTCCTAAATGTATTTTTTTAATTTCGAGTTCTACAACATTTATTATTTTAGAAATAACTTGTCTCATAGTTTTCCTAGTAGCTTTCAATTTAACAATATCCTCTGCCATAATAACAACATAAGTAATTTTATTCGCTTACCTGGTGCAGCATTCAAATATTCAATCCTAATTTAGTAACTCACTTTCCTGGTGAATAGCATTCACAAGTATTATAAACATTTATCTTGCCACGTTCAGTGCCGAGGAATAATTTTTCAATAACACGAAAAAACACTGCATTATAAATGAAAAAAACTGTTTGTGGCCCACGTTGGGTGTCAAAAATATAAAATATTATATTGACCGTCAAGAATTTGAAGTTATCCTAGTTCCAGAAACATTAACTCAAGCCACACATAATACCAAGGTAAAAGAACATTACTAATCAGTTTTTTAAAACTTCCAAGTTTATTCAAGTCCAAGTTTATTCGTAACACGCATTCAACTGGCACTGCTAGATCCAAGAACAAGAAGTATAACATCATGAAAGTTTTACCCCCTTTTGGGAGATTAAAATATATTTCCACATAAAATTTCTTACATATACTTTATTTAAACTCGCATTCTGGTAAGAAATTGAAATCAAAAGAGGAAAGAAAGTTTCTTAAAATAAAAAAATCTGATGTGTACACCACATGACTTCCTTGTACGGAATATTAAATTTTACGCATTTTTTTCTTGCATTTCATTTAAACTTATTGGACTAAATTAAATCTACTTCGTCGATAGCGCATAAACCACAATAGAATAAATGCACTCTTTAAATTTCACTATATTTGTTTACCATAGCAACACTCCGGCGCTATGTTCACTTAACAGCGTTATATTTCGTTCATATTATAACTCAGAATGCACAAACTTTATATTATTTGAAGAATTATCTAATAATTGCCACATGTTCTATTCAAATACCATAATAAATATATAACGATGTACAAAAGAAATTAAGCAAACAAAGCAAAAAAGAAACAGTTTTTCACAGACGATTCAGTATTTTTCATTCAATTAATTCAGTTCTCACTTCGCGACAAGGCAAAAATACATAAAATCTCAAAATATCTCTATTAAAAATTACGAAGTAAGTTCTAAACACTTATTTCCTCGAAACAATTCCAGAAATGATTAAGTACGATTTCATTCGCAATAATAAATGAAGGCGTTATCTTTGTTGTTGCGAAGCTTAGTCTCTCTAGATTGGCAAAAAATCTACTGTTCTGCTGTGTCAAATGTAAACAAATATGTCCACCATGTTGTTTAAATATTAGGCTTAACCGCACTTAAACAGCTTTTAAATTGTTGATAATTCTACAAATATTGCTTGCAGATTTCTTAAAGCATAAAATTCTTAACTGGAAGATAGGAACAACATAATTCATTTCTAAAGCAAAAAATTCACAATTTACAAACATATAAGTTTAAAGAAACTGAGATAACTTAGCCGGATAACAGAGTGGAAACATATATATATATAAATATATACGTTTGGTGCGGCCGATTGCAACCAAAATACGAGGTGCACATCTAAATGTTATAGCAGTCCTATATACAAAATTTAAACGTTCTGAGGCTACTCGTTTTTGAGTTATGCGAGATACATACGTACGTACAGACACTACGAAGGATTCTCTTCAGCATTTATTTTAAAGCAGTTTTATAATTTTTTGGGAGGAAAGGAGTCTTTTATTCTGTCCTTAAGTACAGATGTCACGCAGAAACATCGTTCAATTGCATTCGATAGCGGTCAAAATGGATATTTTCGTTGAAATATGCTGCCTGAAACTTTTCGCGATTACACTTCCTTTTTACTTCGTAAAAGGAAGTAAAAATTGGTTAGAACAAAATAAGGTCTTTACAACCCTTTTTGTTTCCACCAACCTCTCTCCTATTGAATAATCGCACAATCGAAATGTGATTGAAAATTCGCACAAAATTTAATAATTTCTTGGTGAATGCACAATTATAATATGTAGAGTGACATAACGAGTGGAGATATAGTATACTTGCTGCAATGTTATATTTTTAAAGAAAGGATACGATTAAACTGATGTACAGTGAAAAGTATCTGCTTGAAATCTCATTTTTTTGTAAGAAATTATTGCATTCCACATATTTCTTAGTTACAGTTGCATTTCTTTTACAGATGCCACTGTTCAGAAGGCACGGAATGCTGGTATGTCTCGGACATTAAAGACTGTCCTAATTACTGGTGTCAAGTTCGCAGGGAATATCTTTATCGAAAGGGAGAATCTTCACTTCAGTTTGCTTGCCTAGAAGTGACGTGCGAAAGTATTCAGAGTCAGAAGAATAACACCCAGAAAGAAACTACTTTTAATATAACAGCTCTTTATCAGAACAAAACGAAACATATAAATAATGAAATTAATTATATAGCTAATGAAACAGACCATACAAACAATGAAACTATTCAACCTAACAATGACCTCACGAATATGACATCTCTCTCACGAAATAAAACATCTTGCTTTAGTGAAGAAGAAACTGAGCTTGAAAACATAACAGCTCAGTATGAGAATGAAACAGTTCAACCTGAAGATGAACCAACTCCCTTGACAGTAAGACATCTCGAATGGAGGATAAAAATATTTATTCAGAAAATGAAAAAGTCCATCGTAGAAATGAAGCGGCTTATCTGGAAAAGAAGAGAAAGAACGTGCCAGCTTGAAAACGAAACACCTCAGCTCAACAGTCAAACAACTCAACTTGGAAAAGAAACAGCTACCTCTGTTGCAAATGAAATGCTAGATCTGGCTAATAGAACCAAAGAACTCGTTTCGCGAATGAGAGATTTCAGCGCGGTCGTGACGAAGCGTATTGAGATAAAAAGAAAGAAAACATATTTGATTTTTAATAATGAAAACACAAGAAACATATACAAAAGATGATATATATTATATTCACCTCGAATTACGCTTTTTAGTTATGTTATTTAATTATCAATTTTTGGTGGTTAGTGCTATTTCATGAAAATTAGTGTTAAACAGATTCAATGATTTAACTTTAATAAATTATTTTATTCACTTTGGATGTATTTCTTATATCTTTTCTGTAATCGCAGCTATTTAAGATTGCGCAGATTTTCTCCAAAGACAGAGAGGATTTTATTTCTGACTTTATTTGAATATTTAAGTCTAAATTTTGTTTTCCTTAACTAGACAATGTTTCCAGCATTCAACTTTTCGGAACACATTTCACATTCTGTTATGATTCAGCAATCAGCGCACGTTCATAGGTAGTCACCAATTTTTCATAGTTTGTATTTGGTAATTTTTCAGTCAAACCATTTGTTTTGTAAATAATGATATTATTACCTATAACTTTTCTTAATAAGAGACAGAACATAAAAGATATTAATTTCATGATATGTTTTTACTATTTACTTCCTATAAGTAAATTATAAACTATATTACTTTAAATTGAATAGAAAATATTTTTTGCTAAATAAATTTTATTACCTTCATAAATTAATAGGGGCAATCATATGTATGAGTGTCTTTAGCAACCTGCGTCTTAATATTCTCAAAGGTCATCTTAAGTGAGGGTAGGATTCGGTTATACTCAACATTTAATGCTGGTCTCATTTCGAGTATCGTTGCTCGACAAGCCCATCTAGCCCCATGAAACGAGAACAATCTGCATATCTTTCCATATCCAGCTTCTCACCACAGGAAAAGTTTCTGGGGGTCGGGCACACCACTCCAGTGGACTATAACTGGCCTAATGAACCGGTTGGGACCTTAGGAGCAACTGGATTCCCTAAATGCTGGAGAATATTCCTTAAACCTCAATCACATTAAAAGGTTAACACACTTGGCTACAGTCCCTGCTAGACGGGACTTTTCTGAGAAACGAGATTCTGGTAGCGCTGATTTAAACGAGAGGATTACTAGAAAAAAGAGCCCCACCTGAAGCGAAGTACCACCTAACTACGGAAACGATGTTACAGTTAATTGGGATTTTCTCAAGCCTCACTGAAAATGTCTCCGCTGGACCTCTGTCCTCGGTAGAGACAACCAATCAGACGAAAGTTCTGCTTCTGAAGCATTACGTGATCGCAATCTGAGCGATAATCGATTAGTGTTTGGCATTCTAGTCTTTGTAGTAAGTGAAAATGGTAACCTAGCTACGTGTGTTTCCTGGAATTGTGCGGGCTCTGAGAATTGTCCCTTTTAACGTCAAGTTCCGCGTAGCCGAAGCATAATGTGATTTATACTTCGGCTCATGAATCACATTATGCTTCAGCTCATAACTCACATTATGCTTCGACTACGCGGGACTTGACGCCAAGAGAGATAATTCTCAGAACTCGCACAATTCCAGGAAACCCGTGTAGCTAGGTTACCATTTTTACTTACTACAAAGACTAGAACGCCAAACACCAATCGATTATCGCTCAGTTTGGGATCACGTGATGCTTCAGAAACAAAACTTTCGTCTGATTGGTTGTCTCTACCCGGGACAGAGGTCCAGCTGAGACATGTTCAGTAAGGTTTGAAAAAATCCCACGTAGCCGCAACATCGTTTCCGTAGCTAGCGGGACTTGGCTTCAGCCGGGCTCTTTTTTCTAGGAATTCTCCCGTTTAAACCAGTGCTACCAGAATCTCGTTTCTCAGAAAAATCCCGTCTAGCAAGGATTGTAGCCAAGTGTGATAACCTCTTTTACACCTGGGGAAAACCCTGATGGTAAATCACCAGGCTCAGCGTAACTCCATCCCTTCTCGTCTCATGCCTACATTTACCCGAGGCTTCCATAAAGCTTAAGCAGATGGCATACGCCATCGTCACTTCTGTTCAACAGAGGAAAAACAGAGTCTGTTCCTACCTCTAATGTTCCTTCTAGTTTGACAGAGAGGCTCTGAGTTACGCGTCATGTCGCTCCAGGAGTCAACTTTTTATAGCGCTTTGTGTGCAATTTACTCCTGCAAAACCACAGCCAATTTTGAACTTGAGGGTGACCTCATTTATTAATAATATTAATAAGTGCTAAACAAGATGTATTGTTAACACCTTCTATTAATATTTGCTATTCAATTGTATAACGGAGTCTCTCTTATTTAAAGTTCCAGTGCACTCTGGCTGGAATAACGATTTCACTGAAAATGTTTAAAAGTACCGAAACCGGATATCGGCTAAATTCAGATCTTGATCAAAACGAAATTTTTAGGTCTTCAGCTAAACTACTAACGAAATTAAATTGCAAAATTCATAACTTGCAAATAACCATGGCAAAAGAAACCCATCACAAAATAATAACAAGATAATTTTTTTTTTGCATTGTGTAATTTGCGCGTGTCTTGCTTACATTCACATTACTTCATATATCCATTAAGTTTTATCATTTTTTAAGTTAATTTTTATTTTTCAAAGGTGGATCAAAATCTAGACATCGGTTAAATTAAACCATTTCAGAGCCCCTCTATTTCTTCTTCAGTCATACCTCAAATTTCTTAAAAAAGGATACTTCTCTCATTGTCAACAAATAGGTTTTTTTTTATTAGAATAGCATTAAAATTCGGCATAATTTAAATGTATACAACTTGTCCGCTGTTAACAGCTAACCAGATGCTTACTAGATTAAGAAGAATGCAAACGGAATCTACCGAAATTGCTAGATTATCTGTGGCGGCGCTTTCAAATCCATGACCTATTTGGTTCAATAATAAGTGTGCTCGTACATTTTAAAACCCTTAATATCTTCGTTATGCTGTAGGAAAGTTGTTACCTGCTGTAAAAAAGGGAAAGACTTATTTATTTTAAAAGCAGTTACTCCCAGTTTTTTAAGCTAACTGTGTAACATAGTTAGATATTTTGAGAATTAGTAACCTGAAGTTTTGTGTTGCCACAGATATTTTTATAATTTAGTCTGTTTTGTATGATAAGGATTTTATGTATTGAAACCAGATTTCATCGGGCGCCCACAATTTTTAAATTTCTTTTAAAACTTTAATTTTATATTTAATATGTATCTTCCATAAAGTTACGTTATTTTCCTTCTTTTACTTCACGTTCGTAAGTACGGTTTCATGTGGATTTGGAGTGAATAACGACGACACTCGATGAAATATCGAAACGCTCTTTATTGGCCGGTATTCTCAGGACAGCTCCAAAACACGTTTTTACAGTCGTCGAAGAACTACCATAAACACGCTGACACGATCAGCAACACACCCTTCACACAATCAGGCTATAACGGGGCATACAGCTTCCCGGCAAAGCACCAGAGTACAGCTCCCGACTCGGCTCGGTCGTTCTCGGAACTCCACGTACTCTCGCGACTCTCCACGCTACAACTCGCGATGCACTCGACAATACACAAGAGTACAGCTCTCGACTCTTCGATTCAGTCGTTCTTGGAGCTCAACACACTCTCTCGACTATGCACTAACCGCGATACACTAAGAGACTCTTCGGTGCACTCGACGACCCACTCGGCACTCGCTCACCGACTGTCAACTCGATTGACTCAGCACGGACAAACTAACTTGCTACACGAGACACTAACTAACTAACTGACTCACTAAACTCGATACTCTGCTTACCAGCAGGGTTTATATAGCTTTTGGCTTGCGTTCGAGAACAAAAACTCGTAAGAATTCGTTCCAGAAGGTTCTCCATCCCTCCATGCCATATCGCCAATTTTGTCGCCAAATATCACCAAACGGGCGATTTCTCGCCAAATGTTTCAACCTTGCCTTCCCTTGACATTTTATGGCAACCCTAAACCTGCCTTAAAGGGAAGCTATTTTACCGCGCCTCGATATTTCGCAACAATAATATATAATTGTAAAAACATTTTTGATGCGTTTTGCAATCATCTTAATTTTGTAGAATGTATATATTTTTGTGTGTGTTTCTGTTTATGTGATACAAACCACTCTGTATTTTACTGAATTTTATTGTACATATGAGAGTTCTTGTCATTTTATCTAACCTTAAATTGTAACTATTGTAAATCTTACATTTATATATATGTTTTTATTCTGAAAACTTTAATACGGCCCCGTCGCAGTTATATTAGTGAATAATAGTGTGAACGTTTCGTAATTTTTGTGATGAGTCAATTGAAGAGTAATAGGGAGAGTAAACTTGTGGAAGCTGAGGGAGAGACTTTGGAGAGTTCGGATGAAATAAAAGTGTGTGTGTGTGTGTGATTATGGCAAAGCCTCGAGGGAGCCTAGGGATGCCTTGGAGGTAAGGGAACGCTCGTATACACGTTACACATGGGGAAAACCACGAAAACGCCCATGAGCCAGCCCGTTCGCGGATTCGAACCTCGGACCGAACTACCAGTGTTCAGCGACTTTACCGCTCGGCCGCTGGTGGGCTCGGATGAAATAAAAGAAATTATGGACTGTGGTAATGATAGACCTAACGATGAAGGAAAAATTGAAAGTGTACTCGTTGTTGTTAGATCATTATATGATTTTGTAGACAAGCTAGACGAGTCTCACGGAAATTACCGATGGCCTAGCTAGAGGTATAGATAGAGTTTTGGATTTGCTTGTCTCACAGAATTTAAAGACTATTGAAGAGGACATGGTGCAATCAAGAACCAATATTTTATTTGATATTAAACAGGATATAGATGAAATTAAGGTTATTTTGCAGAAAGATCGAGATACATGTGAAATGAGGGATAGAAAGAATAAAGTATTGGATGTAAATGATTGGAGAGAAAATGAATTAATAGTTAAACCAGCTGCGAATGGCGTTGATGTATACGAGGAGTTAATTGCTAATGTTAGACCAGAGGATGTTGATATAAAAATAATGAGCTCCCATACGAGAAAGAATGGTGATTTGGTGATGAGGTTTAAAGATAGCAGAGAAGTAGACACGGTACAAAATGTTATTGAATCCAGAAAAAATTTAAGGGATAAACTTTATACAAGGAAGAAAAGGTTTATACACAACCGAAGATTATTGTATATGGCGTATGCAATTTAATAGATGATAAGGAGATTATGGATAAAATGAAGGAGGAGTTGT